TACATCCCATTTGGATGGATACTGAATGGAAACTTGAAAAGAATTATTGCACTTAGAGTTTTTTTGATGACTCTCACACCGTGCATAATATTTTTACCATGTTTAAATATTTATTTTAGAAGAATATGGTTTGACTAAAAAAAATTTTTACAATTGGTTTTGATCAATGAACAGTGCAAATAGCCGCATCAATAAATGAATTAAAACACTCTTTTGTCAACCTAATTTGGTGGACTAAGTTTTTTCGAACAACTTAGGATGTGCATGTCATATTTTAAATTTTATGTGTTCAGATGCATTAACAACATTAAATGTATTTTACGTCCAATAAAAATGCTTTAAAAATCATTTATGGACACATGGATATGTTAGAAAAGAATGTTTAAAATTTTTGTCAGCTCTTGGGAGAAAAAATATAAAAAATTTTCAAGAGATATTTCTACAAGGTGGAATTCAAGCTTATAAAATTGTTAAATGAGTCTTATGAATATAAGCCTATTCTTTCTTCATTTATGCAATTGCCATGCATCACATTTTCAACTTTATCCAACCAATTGGACTATTTTGTAAAAAAAAATAATTAAGATTTTGCAAGTTTTTTTTGAAAAATTGTACGAGAATTTTTAGTGGTGTTTATTATTCCTAGACCTCCCTTTTCCATTTCCATTGTTTTGGGACCATAGTAGTGCCATAATTGAAAATGAAAAGATGATGATTTTACGAGAATGTATATTCATGATGAAAACTAAATGGTTAAAATATTATAATGAAATTCTGAATTAAATTTAGTTGCATTTTTTTCTTTGTCAGATTTAAATTAATTGCATTACAAGAATTTTTTTCGTCTTTTTAAAATCTTTTAATAATTGAGGTGCAAGATTTAATTTTTCTCTTAAAACTAATAATGTTTTAAGTATATCCTCAATGTAATGATGAGTATTTTCTACATTAGTATCTCCCCTTCCTCAAGTATGCAGATTCCAAACTAAACACAATCACTAAATTCGATTCTAACACAATTACCTTCATCAAAATGTTTCAAAAAAAATCAAGGGAGGGTCCACATTCATACATCAGAAAATTGAGACAATATATTTAGCACTGACAGATTTTGAGTTTTTAGGATGATGTTTGCGAATGAAGAACCCAACAAAATTGATTATTTTGGGTTGGTGGAAAAAGCCATGCAAAATCGCTTTCCAGTCTTTAAGCTTCAACATTTGCAAAAGATATTCCTTGCTTGTCCAATTTCCTACTGTTGCAGTGGAACAAGCTTTTAGTGTGGGTGGACAAAATTTTAGATCCAACACGATCAAGATTTATCGGCCAAAAATAATTGTGGAAATGCAAGAGTGGTGTTGACGATTGGACTAGAGCGGCGTTGAGAACTCAAGACCAGCAAAAATTCAAGCGAGTATGATGATTCGGACTCACTTATTGGAGACAGTGGCACGGATGACTATAATTAATTGTAATTAATTAAGAGGTTAATTTTCCAATGTAAGCAAAAAAAAAAAAAAAAGAACTATAATAGGTTTATTTTCTATATCAGTGAGTAGCAAAATTGTAAATTTAATATAATAATTAGTTTTCTAAATTTATAGAGTTTGTTTTATTTTATAATAATTTAATTTAGTTTAATAAAATTTAAACATTTAAAATTATTTATTTATTCATGAATCGAAATAATTTTATTATTTTTTAAAAAATTTGCGTAATGCCGGAACGAATCGGAAACCGTAATCTTGACCGTCGGTTCGCTCCGGAACCGTGCTGAACCGTGCCGGAACCCGGAACCGGAACCGAAACCGGAGGTTTCAAGGGCCGGTTCCGGTTCAAAATTTTAAACTTCTCTGAACCGGCGGTTCAATGAACCGAAAACCGTCGGTCATTGAACCCGCCATGCTAGCGGAATCAATGATACAGCAAGTAAGTGGATCCCATAAATGTGCACTCAGCAATCCTTGTAGACCTGATAGACACTGCCGAACCGGCGGTTCAATGAACCGAAACCGTCGGTTCATTGAACCCGCCATGCCTAGCCGGAATCATGATACAGCAAGTAGTGGATCCCATAAATGTGCACTCAGCATCCTATGTAGACTGATAGCACACTGCTGAGTTAGAAAACATTTAAGTTTACATGACAAAAGCAAAGAAAAGAAAAATATGCCCTTATTTTTTGTTCTCACCTAAACTACATTCCAAGTTGAATACGTATATCTCTCCCTCTCTCTTTCTATATCTTTCAATCTTATCTCCGTTTTTCACTTCCCTACAAAATGCAATCAAAGACCTGCGAATTGTGATCTTCTGTTTGTTTTCATGGCTACCATACTTAAGTCTTTCACCGTTCCTTGCTCCCCTGCTTTGCCTAAACCTATAATTTTTTTTCCTTTTGTTATTGCTTTTTCGATCTCTTCTATTAACTGAAATCGACCATGTGCTTACCCAAAGCTAGAGATCTCAAATTTAGTTTCAAATCCTCCATGACTCACACTTTTGAATCAGCAACTCAGATTCTGGATCGTTCTAGACTCATTGTGGCGCAAGAATTGTGTGAGACACAAAACGCTATTGTTGAAGGTTGAAGGTAGATTCAAATTTTGATTTTTTTTTCTTTAAATTATTTTTAAAATATTTTATCTTATTTTTATAAGTTAATTTATTTGGGATGTTTTCATTACAATGAGCAGAGGAGTTATGTTTTTAAGTGGAAAAGTGATATAAGTATTGATAGGAACTTTATTACAATTGCTAGATAAAGTTTATTTAAGCATTTTATAATTGAGCAATTACCATGATGATTAAGACTGTGTTGTAACTTAAATTAATACTAATATTAACAATTATGTGTTCAATGTTCTCTAATAAGTTCTATTAGAGTTGTTAAATTTTATATGAGTTTATTTATATTTTTAAACTATAGGTAAGTTTACAAGATTGCATATAAATTGAAAGAGATGGTTTGGTTTCTCACATCATTTTGTGTATATATATATAAAGGAGAATATGGCTATTCTCGTATTGCTTATGTGTTATCTTCAATATTATAAAGAAATCAATATTGCCTAATTATTATTCCTCTCATCTTCTTAAATTTGTAAAATTACTCTAATATTGTTAGGTATTTTAATGAAATTAATTAATGATAGATTATGCATTAAGCATATGTGAATGTCTTCCTTTTTACTTTTTTATCTTTCATTTTCTAATGAAAAATTATTTTTTTTTCTTGAAACTTATTTAATTAAATCGATGACGATTTGTGGATGAATTTAAAAAATTTTGTTTATCATGTTTCAAATTTATAATAGATAAATATAAATATAAATCGGTTTATATGCATAGTAAAATTCATTAAATCTACATATTTAAGGAGCTTTAAAATTGAAAGGATAAAAATATGCATAAATTTATAGCTTCCCTTATCAAACATTCTCTTTGATTTATAACTTTTTTATGAATTTAACTTTCATGCATTTTAATCACGAAATATGCCTTTATGCGGCTATTGGTATTTCTTATATTAAAAATTACAATAAGGTGCCTTTAAGATATATATATCACTAAAATTAAAATTCAAAAATAGAAAAATACACCTTTATCAAATTAAAATTTGAAACTTTTTCCTCTTTTTATGTTCTATTTACAAATTGGAATCTATAAATATTTTAATTTATAATTTTTCTACTCATAATTTTCCTGCATTTCATTTTTTTATATCTATATGAATTATGTCTTGCTTGAGTATTTGAAACTCTTTTATTTCTCCCATCCATTTTTCTCCTCATTCTCTTTCCTTTCTCTATCACGTCTTTTACCTCACATCGATTCTCAAATTTAATTCTTTTTCTGAATAATTCAAAGCATATATAAAATTTTTTATTGTATATTATATTGTATTAAATTACTATGTTTTCCGCATTGTTTGAAATCTTTAGTATAAATATATACAATGTTAAATTATTAGTTATTAAAATAGTCCTTTTTATTATTATTGTATTTGTTTTAAAAATGATGGTTATTATTAATTATATTATTTGTATTCGTATTTTCTTATTGCATCTATTTTATAATTCAAATAAAAAAAATAAAGATTACACATTCGCTTGAATTGTGAGGTACCGTCTAGTTTATTCAAAAGCAAAGAATAAACTGAAATGAATTATATTTAGTAAAGAATGCAAAGACAACGACCATGAAACTGATATGAATATATCAAGCCTCTTAGGCCGATTCAGCCGACATTAAATTTATATTACTCAAATAGTGCTTAAGTGAGCTTATTTATCAGAAGTTGAGATACTAAATTTATCATTTATCCTTTTTTTTTTTAAACACAATAAATATTTGAAAACAGAGAGAATAACGATTATTTATTTATTTAATAATAATGACCAAATCTAATTGAATTCAATTTAAATATTTGAAGAATTCATTTTAGTGGAAATCAAACTTTCGAAATCAAACTTGAAAATGAAAATTCAACTAAAATTAAGTTTCAAAACTCAAGTTTTTCACTAGAATTAAGATTGAGTTCAACATATTATTCTGCTCATATGGATTACACAAAAATTAAAAAAAGAAAAAGAAAAACACTTATTTTCTTTTTTCTGGGTGTTAGTTTTTGTGTAAGGGAAAGAGAGGACCGTAGATCATGTATGCTTGTCAAAACACTAATCATATCATCTAATCCCACAATGAATCCAATAATGAATGGTTGTTTGTTTTTAAAGTAGTAGTACATTAAACCAATAATCACAATTATTAAAATAATAATCAGACATATCGTATCCCTAAACAAGAAGAAGACAAATCTTTATGCCTTAATCTTAACCACAACATCATCCCAATAATCCAATGATGATCTAATTACCCACTTAATTGTTAATTATTTCTTAATTAACTTGTATTCAACAATTATTCCCTCCTAACCCCCCTCCTTCAGATAAAACGCATTTAACGACACACCTGAACGGACAATCTAACTACCATTACAAACACACCTCACATTTCCCTCTCACTCTCTCTCTCTCTCTCTGTTGAAAAGTAATCAACCTTTACAATTTATTTTCTCTCACTTTCTCTCTTTCCAAACAGAACCACTCTTTTCTTTATTTTCTTTCTCTGACATATCTCTTGCTAATCGTACTTCTCTTGTCCTTGTTTACGAGATTTGTCTCTTTTCTCTCGAAAGCACTTTAACCTTTCGATTCTTATTTCCCTCTCTTCGATCATGCTTCAAAGCTTAGTTCCTCAATCGCCAATAAATTCCACCCCTACCACTACCAATTCTACTTCCTCCATGAAGACAAAGCGCGTCGATAGAGACGCCTCAGGCGATGATCCTTCCTCCAAGCGACCTAATTTTTCCAGCGAAGCTACTGTCTCTGGCGATAAAACCACTGCTGAGGAAGATTCTACAGAGACTACAGGTCTTAGGCTTCTTGGCCTCTTGCTACAATGCGCCGAGTGCGTCGCCATGGACAACCTTGACGACGCCACCGATCTCCTCCCAGAGATCTCGGAACTCTCATCTCCATTCGGATCGTCTCCTGAGCGCGTCGGTGCTTACTTCGCTCACGCGCTTCAGGCGCGTGTGGTTAGCTCCTGCTTAGGTACTTATTCACCTCTAACATCCAAATCGTTAACTCTAACTCAGTCTCAAAAAATCTACAACGCTTTTCAGTCCTACAATTCTATCAGTCCATTAATCAAGTTCTCTCACTTCACTGCCAACCAAGCAATCTTCCAAGCATTGGACGGTGAGGATTGTGTCCACGTTATCGATCTCGATATTATGCAAGGTCTTCAATGGCCAGGGCTTTTCCACATACTCGCTTCAAGGTCTAAGAAGATCCGATCCATGAGAATAACCGGGTTCGGATCTTCCTCCGAGTTGCTCGAGTCAACTGGTAGAAGACTCGCCGATTTCGCCAGCTCACTCGGTCTGCCTTTCGAGTTCCATCCTGTGGAAGGCAAAATTGGAAACGTAACGGATGTCAGTCAACTCGGGGTTAGATCAAGAGAAGCGGTAGTGGTTCACTGGATGCATCACTGTCTTTACGATATAACAGGAAGTGATTTAGGGACGTTGAGATTGTTGACTTTGTTGAGGCCCAAATTGATCACGACCGTTGAACAAGACCTAAGCCATGGGGGCAATTTTCTAGGGAGGTTCGTGGAGGCCTTGCATTATTATAGTGCTTTATTTGATGCATTAGGGGATGGATTAGGTGCTGATAGTGTAGAGAGACATACGGTGGAGCAGCAGTTGTTTGGATGCGAGATTAGGAACATTGTGGCCGTAGGTGGGCCCAAGAGAACAGGTGAGGTGAAAGTAGAGAGATGGGGAGATGAGTTGAAACGGGTCGGGTTCCAACCTGTATCTCTTGGGGGAAACCCGGCTACTCAAGCTAGCTTGCTACTAAGTATGTTCCCTTGGAAAGGATATACTTTGGTTGAAGAGGAAAATGGTTGCTTGAAGTTGGGATGGAAAGATTTGTCTGTGTTGACTGCATCTGCTTGGCGGCCGTTGGATTAGATTACTTTTATCAAAAAAATGGATTGATGAAAACGATGAGATCAATCATTGGTGTAATCGAGTTTGCACGTTGATAGGGGGGGAAGAAGACAAGAAGTGCTGAGTCAATTATTAAATGGCGTTGATAGTCTTGAAGAAAAATCAGATATTTGTAATAAAAAAATTGAAAGAAATGGTAATGCCATTGTTTAGAATTTTTATTCTTAACAATTTCTTTTTCCCATTCCTTTAAAATTTCCTATGTATTCAAAAGATTTTTTTTTTCTTTCTTGATTATTAGGTGACGAAGTAGGTTTTTTTTTTTTTTTTTTTTTTTTTTTTTTTTTTTTGTTTTTTTCACTTTATGTAAATCTTTGAAAAGGAAAAGTCTTTTTTTGCTTTATTTTCAAGAAGTAAAAGTTCTTCCAATCCCATTAGTGTGGAAAATAGTTATTTAACATGGTAAATGTTGACTTGTTTTTTTTTTTTTTTTTTTTTTTTGTGGTAGGCATTGAAAATTTGCTTATTCAGTTGGAATTTTTTTTTTTTTTTTTTTTTTTTTTGTAGGCATGAAATTGCTTAATTCAGTTGGATATACGAGATGCATGTTGTTCATGCTTTCATGAAAGGTTTGTCTAATGACAAAAAGTTATCCTGATCCTGTGAAATACAACGCAGAGGATGTGCTCACAATTACTCAATCCATTCACTTTTAAGCGCTACAATTTAAATGACACAATAATAAAAAAAATATATTAACCTTAATTCTAAAAAAGAAAAGCTTTAATTCATCAAGGAAAAATTATAATTTTGTCCCTATAATCTGCAATACTTAATAAATTTGTCTTTATATTTTGAAAAATACACTGTGATAATCCCTAATGTTTTCCCGTTACATGGTTTTATCCTTCCATCTATTTTATTCCATTTTAGCCGTTAAAAACATTGGAAAATGCAATATTGGCCATCAGTACAAAAGCTTTCTAATTTAGGGAAAATAAAGGTTTAGGAGGGAAGGAAGAATTGATTTCTCACTTCAATTCCCATTAAGCAATCTCAAACCCTAATCATCCCCATTTCAATCGAAAAACGTAGTTAAGTAGAACCATATAATTCGATTTAGTTGGAGTAAATCATGGAGGTGTTGCTTTAAACGCTAATATTTGATACGTAAGTCATGATACATAAAGTTCTAATAAGATATAATCTCCAATATTTCAAATTTACATATCATATTTGATACGTAAACTAAAACATGATAAGTTATATTACCAACATGAAAGTCTTTAGCTCTGAAGCTGATCTAAAATTCAAACAGCACAATCTACATGTGATAAATATCAATTCGCAGAGTATAAAATTCAATGGTGCTCTACAATCTCAAGCATCCAATGTTGCAAGGACAACATGTAATCATAGACAAAATCATATAATCATTGAAGGTACTAATCATGCCTAAACAAATATTTCACTTGTAATCATATTAACCATGTTAAATCATAAGTTCTCATATTCAAGTCATATATCATCATTTAAAGTATGAATACATATTTGGAAGCCAAAAGCATAAGGTATTAACTTGTAAAAGCACATAACACATAAATAGTATGAATCTAAGTGTATAAATTAAAAGCATAAGGCATAAGCTTACAAATGCATTTATTTCATAAATACATCTTATTAAGTCCTTTTTTTCATTTTCAATTTGTGGGGCTCATACACTTAGTAAAATTAGAAACAAATGAGATTTACAAAATCAGAAGGCTATAAAAGCCAAATAGAAATAGAGGGCTTTAAAAGCGAATCAAAAACAGATATTGCACGTCCATTTATACAAAGAGCACCAACATGTTATCCATGTGATCATAGCTATATCCAGACAATCAAAGTGGCATAATTATGATGAGCATGCTCAAAAATATAATAATCTTAATCAAGCATCTCATTCCTATCAAGTATAATAAGAGCCCGAAAACATACTTTGTTTCTTTAAGTTACATGGTTACTTATAAACTTTACTTTCATTAATAAACACATTTCCACAAAGGTGTCTCAGCTTTCAATTAAAGCCATAAGGCACATAAACTTTGACACTTTTCAAGACATAGGAGAGAAAATATAGCATAAAGGTTTTATCATAAAAGCCACACTTTTCTCCTTTAATTCAATTAAAACATCAATTTTACACTTAGAAGCATAATTAAACTCTAAGCATGCATATACTTGAGCAATTACTCAAAGTCATAGCATTTTCAAGTCATAAGAAGTTTCAAGTCACATATGTCATTTTTAATAACCAAGCTTCCTTTTTCTTATTCAACTCAGTCAAAATACTCATCATGCTCAAAGAAATATGTTTACACTTAAAGCTTACATCAATTCATAGACTTTCCTAAAATTCCCTATGGTTCAAGTCATGGGAAAATTTGTCATTTCTTATGATTTTAAAAAGATATCAATGCCATGTTGTAAATACATTCTAAGCATCATTAGAGAATAAGAATTGTCATTTAAAGGCTAGGAATTTACAAAGCTATCGTTTCCTCTATGGTTTAGCCAAGTGAGGTTCCACACTAAAAGTAACATTGTTAACTCTCAATTTTTACCCTTATGATCGATGATGAAAATCCTTAAAATCTCTAATTAATTTACAGTTGATAATTTTTCGGATTATTCATTTTTATAATTTTCTTAGATAAAAAATATAGCGGGTTTTTGTGAGGTAAATTGGAGTACTTATAGAATTGAAATCTTGGGCTTAAAATTTATTTTAAAGTGTTAGCTTGAAATTAATTAGAGGTTAGTTCAATATTATCTCAAAATTAATTAAAGTTTAGTTTAATTTAAATATTAGCCTAAGTTATGAGCCCATAGTTAGCCCAAAATAAAGAGAAATCCTAGAAACACTAAGAGTTAACACATTAAAAAGGAGAGGAGAAGAGGTTAAAAGGCAAGGGTGGTATAAATAAAAAGGTAGGTAGGAAAAAAGAGAAAGGACGTAAAAGTTAGAGGAGGAAAAAAAAAAAAAAAAAAAAAAAAGTTAGAGGAGGAAAAAAAAAAAAAAAAAAGCGAAATTAACATGAAAAAAAAGAGAGAGGCAGAAAAAAAAAAAAAAAAAAAAAAAAAGCGAGATTAACATGAAAAAAAGAGAGAGGCAGAAATGGAGAAAAGAAAAAACGCTGCAAAGGAAAGAAGAAGACAACAAAAAGGAAAAAAAAAAAAAGAAGCAAGAATCAATTCAAGAATCGATGAAAAAATATGAATAACATCAGAAACTAAGAGCATCAAACCATCTTACCGTTTATATGCTTTGATTTATAACAATAAGAGAAAGTACCTAGTAAGTGTTTAGATTATGAGTTCTAAAACTAAAAAATCTAATATAAACCAAATGTATTTGATTTTCTTAAATAGTTTTGAAACAGTTCATTGTTTTGGTTTTATTTTTTCGGTTTAAATCTGATTTTTATTGAAGTAATTGCTTAAGCATGATTTTATGTTAAAAAAAATGAACCTGAGATATTTTAATTAATTGGGTAGTAATATGAATGAGGAACATGTTGTTTTGTGGCTTAGTTGAACAATCTGTGTGCTTAAAAATGTTGAAACTATATTTTTTTTATATCAGATACAGATTGATACGTAAGAGACTTAGCACCTATTGTTAAGCCTTGCGTATTTGTAATAAGCCTTTACGCACCAGTCATCTATTCGTTTGTCAAAGATAGATTGATGTGTAAAAAGCTTACGCACCTATTATTAAGCTTGACGTACTAGTAGCAAGTCTTTACGCACCCATTGATCAAAGACAGCTTAACAATTAATGGTTTTGATTGTTCAATTTTTTTTTGTTTTATTCATTTTGTTTTATTATATTTCTTTTATTTGTCTTAATTATGACCTTCCAGATTTATTTATTTATTTTATTTTTATAATTTATATAATTTTCTTTGATTTTTAATGTTGTTTTAGCTAAGTAAAAATAAGTTTCATTTAACTAGTATTAACTTTTTTCTTGCATCATAATTTAAATTATTATTCTTTTTTTCTTATTTTTGTAATTATAATTAATTATCTAAGATTTTATTATCTAGTTGGTTATTGCATTTATTTATTAGATGAATGGTTAAGGGTATATGATATATTTATTAGATGAATGGTTGAGATTGTTTGATTAAATTATTTATTTATTTACTTATTATTTATGGGAATGTAATTAATTAGTTGTAGGTTATTTATTTATTTCTTGAAAGGAGATGTAATTAATTATTTCTAGGATTATTTTTTTCGGGATACAATTCTTTTCTCCTCCCTCCATTTTCTGTATCTTTAATTATTTGTTGTGGTTGTTGAGGACGTCCTGGTTTTCCAAAAAGATTGAATATGGAAAGAACTGAACCGAATAAGCTTGATTGATTTTATTCATCAAAATGGTTTTCCTTTATTAAACCTGTTTAATTGATTTTACTTTGGTAAGAGTTTTATCTTGGAGTTGCCACTCTTATTAGAGAAAATTCTCAAATTAGTCGATTCTTTAGAATCAACTAACCGGGTTTTAAACTAGAGACGGGTTCGAGAGTTAGGTACAAAATGAGAAGGTGTTAGACACCCATTTCGCCCGGTTAAACCGGCCTCCTCGTTGCCATTAATTCATAACAATTAATAATGAAATTAACTTTTAATTGAGATGTAAAATGATTTTTATGCAATTTTTAGAAAACTATGTCATTCACACAAATTATTATAAGCATAGTAGACATAAAATATAAAACATATACAAAGAAGGAGGGAAGAGAAAAGAGTTACAAACCATCCTAATTATACACAATCTACCCTCATCCCTCCAAATTTTCTAAACCCAATTTAATATTACAAACAAGCAATAATAGGAATCTTTATGGACTCTTTACATTTTGCAATAATACAACATTAAAGTATAATAAGAATAAAACATTCATAATCAACACAAACACAAAATGGACATTATTTCTCAGAATCATAGAATCATAAAACCCAACCAACAATCATTCATTCATTCACATAATGGAAATATGATGCATGTTCATAATACAAGAGTAATGAATAAAAGAGTTCGTACAATAATGAGCATTAGGCAATGAATTTAAAGGCATAAAATTAAAGGGCAGAATAATAAAGTGCTTCTAAATTAAAGAATAGTAATTAAAGTGTAGGAATTTAAATGATTATATGAGATTTAAATTCATGATCTTGATGTTTATCTTTGAAAGGTGAGAAAATACATCAATCATTATCCTCAATCTCATTTTTATTGCTTATTCAATCCATACATGAACCACATAAATTGAGCATTAGTTTCATTGCTAGAGATAAATTAGACTAATATTAAAAAGGGAAAGCTTAACTCGTATGGTACACCAGAGTGACCTTACATCTATTATTAGTCATCAACCTTGAGAGAAGAGTTGACTAACCTAAGAACACTATCCCCTTCAGAAAATATATCACTGGGGCTTAAATTGCCGCGGCCTGCTTTTGAATGGTAATATGATCAATCTATCATCAGAATACTCAAGAAAGAAATAAAAAGAAATCAAACCTTACTTTCTGGCATTTAATTTCTTTAATTCTGCTATTTACTTTCTTTCATTTAATTTCCTTTATTTATAGCCTTTAATTTACCATAATTAAATTTCTACCCTCTAATATTATCTACTTTAATTTTCAGTCTTCACTGTAATTGAATTCTTATCAGCTTAATTCATGTCTTTTTAATTTTATGCTTACTTCACCAACTAATCGATTTAGCCTGATAATTTAGTATTCAAAAGAACCTAGTACTCGATCCTTCCAATTCCTATGGAATTGATATTTTTCTACACTACTTGTATGACCTGTTAATACTTGCGGTATAATCACTGTATAGCCGAGTGTTTAACAACTATCACCATACGAAAAGAGATAATCTTGATTGAACTCTACTCTTTTGTGTGAATGTGAATTTATAAGAAAATATATATTTTAAGCGTACAAGGAAGAATCAATTAAGAATTATCCAAGAAATGTTAATACAGAGTCTACATTTCTAGTAAATTAATTCATTTAAGGAATAGTGGGATAATAATTAATATATAATTAATATTCTTTTAAAGTCTCATATTTGACTATATGCACTGATTTTCCACAAAAAAGGGTTGAACTTTAACAGTTTTGGTAGTCTAAAAGGAAGTGATAAAACAATTGTGGACACTCTTGATGAGACTACTTATGCAAGTATGAAACTCGGAGGTCGCTTTCTATCGATTTAATGGTGAAATCCTAGAGTCGTTGCTAAGAAGGACAGAGCACAAGACCTATCTTGAATGTGCCACTGTTGCAGAACAAGGACTCATGTATACTATTGGACATGAATTTTACATTCAGTTTAAGCCAACCATATCTTTAGTTATGTGTTACACAAAATACTCAAATAATATTCTCTTATTATTTTATTTTATTTTATTTATTTTTGCATGTTATTATTATTAAATAATAAGTAGGGAATTGTTATATATATAATAATAATAATAATAATAATAATAATAATAATTCATAGTAATTTTATAATTGCACATGTATAGACCTTTTATAAGAGGGCATTATTATGAAAGGGTATCGGAGTTAGCTATTGACCAAGAGGTATGTATATACAAATCTTATGTGAAAATGTTCAATATTGGTTATAGCCATTGAGTTTTATTGTATAAGTAGACAATACTACAATTGGTTTTATGACTTTTCACTTTTTCTTTTTCTTATCTTTATTATATTACTTTATATTTTTCTATCTTTTGGGTTGACTTCTTGTGGTGGAAGGACTTAAAAAGGGCAATTTTAATTTCTTATTTAGGTATTATATTGAAATTTTTAATTAACTATTTGCACTTAGTGGGAAAATTACTATCCTAAAAATAGTTATTCCCTAAAAATAATTCTCTAATTTTTTTTTTCCAAATATTTTCCACATCTTTTCTTCATAATATATTTTTCTTCACTTATATTATTTATTTGCTAAAATTCTAGGATATCAATTTGTTAATTAATAAAATTGTCATTTTCTTCTAAAAAAAATTTACCAGAATCAACTTTAAACCCATAAAAACAAAAAGTCATTATTGCATATAATTAATTCATCCTAATTTTGTATCGAAAATCTATTATTGTCATAGCAATACCAAAATAATAATAATTTAATCTTTAAAACTCTAAAAATTCAAAATGACTACATGTAAATAAGTAAAAAAAGAAAAGAAATATTGTATAGAAGTTGGAAATTGCATTTATTACATAAACATATGTGAAAAAACAGGAAACCCATATGAATAACATCCCTAGCTAAACTTCAAACATGAACATATGCGCAACAATATGCAATTTCAAAACTCCTAATTAAGCCACATTAATTTTTCACTGAGACTGAGTTGGAGGATTTCCTGGTGGATTGTTTTCCGTATTTTTCGGTACTGGAGCATCACAAGGCTCGATGTCCATTTCACTAACATCGCCAATAACTTGTTGACAATAAGGGCATTTTGATTCCATCTCTGTTTTGAAGTACTCGACTCCGCAGGTTGAATGGAGGAAATGTTTGCATGGCAAGATGTAATGCACTGTTTGACCAACACTGAACAGCTCCAAACATATACAACATGAACTTGATTCACCAAGAAGCCTCCTTACATCTTCAGATGCAGTTTGATTAAACTCATTGAACTTTCGTAAATCTTCCTCATTCAAACGAACAGGACCTGAAATTAATGATCAAGTTAATTAATTAATTAATTAAGGAACTGCAAGCCAATACGATAAAAGAAGGATATCTGACTCTTGCCAGCCATCTCAACAAGATGGGATTTGTGACCGTGGATCTTCTCAATAGCTAGCTAGAGTTTTTTCTTTACTTCCTCTCTTTCACTTCCTGATCTGTTCTTGGAATGACTGCAAGGGTGTGCGTGTTTTTTTTTTTTTTTTCCTTTTAACATTCATATCCGTTCTAATATTGTATGCGAAAAGATCATGAAAAACGCATTTTAATTGGTTTCACTCAATTTATCTGCTTTCTCCACATCAACATATTTACAAGCATGAATCAACACATTACCGACATGAATATTAGCTTCAACTCCAATTCTTCCCGCGAGTTTTCTTATTAAGCTTCCATACCATTTAAATGACCTTATTATTAACCAAACTGAGAATTCTATAACATAGGAAAAAAATCTGTCAATGTGGCCTAAGCCCATAAACCTGAATTGCTTCTTTTTAAAATGTGAATCATTGTCCAATGTCCATCAAGGTTGTAAAGACTGTTTGTGACTAGGAATTGATGATTCAGTCTATTAGAAAAAAAGTTCAGGAAAGATATGAACTTTGGGTACATAAAGAAAGCTGCAACAATTGTGGAGAGATTAAACACAATCTTGGTCGTGAAAGAAAGCTACCCTTTACTATTATTGCACATATATTGCTTTAAACTAATTGGTTTTCATTGCTGAAAGACACTAAAGCAGCTATCTTTATGTTAATTCTTGTAAGGAATATTAAAGAAATTTTGGTTATAACGCAAGTGCTGTCAAACTGTGGTCAAGGCGTAGCAACGTTTTAAATTGATTTAAAGCTAAAGAAAACCAAATGACTAATTGATGCTGTTTTTCGAACTTCTTTTTTGCATTTTTGAACCTAGCAAAGTTTGCAAATGAACATTTTGTTTATGGTAAAAGGGAGCTAATATATAATAATTAGTAAATATATAAGAGTAATAGAAGAAATAAAACGGACCAAATTGCTTCATTTGCTGCTATGTATTCAGCTTCAGCAGATAAAAAAAGCAATTGAATTTTACTTCTTTGAACTCCAAGAAATCACATTTGAGCCCAAGCAAAAAAATGTATCCTGATGTGTTTTTTCTATCGTCAAGGCTTCCAGCCCAATCACTATCTATACAGCCAACTAACTTGCTGTTTTCTTCCTTCACATATTTTATTCCAAAATTCTTGGTACCTTAAAGATAGCCTAAGATACTTTTTGCTGCTGCAAAATGTAGCTTGCTTAGTTCTTAAATAAACCTGGAAATCAGACTCACAGAGTGTAGTATATCTGGTCTTGTATTTGTAAGATATATTAGTGATCCAACAAGACTACGATAAATCTTAGGATCAACTTTTTCCGCACCATCATTTTGCTGTAATTTTTCGTCAAGTGCCGAATAAGTTGCAACTGGTTTGCAGCTTTCCATCTGAAATTTTTTAAGCAACTCTGCAACATATTTCTCTTGAGAAATAAAAATCTCTCTCTTAGATTGCTTTACCTGTATCCCAAGAAAATATTCATAAGTCCCAAATCAGTCATCTCATCATTCCATTCCTGAATTCTTCAACCATGCAAGCATTAGTACTAGTAAATATTAAATCATCAATATAAAGACAACCTATCAAAAAATCTGCACCCTTTTGCTTCACATAAAGTGATGGTTCAGATTGACTTCTAACAAAGCCAATTTTGACAAAAATATGAGTCAATCTTGATATTGCAGGCTCTTGGTGCTTGTTTCAAGCCATAAAAGAGCCTTATGAGGCCGATAACATTTTTCTTCTTTTCCCTTTACAACATATATAGCCTTGAGGTTGCTCAACATAAACTTCTTCTAGTTCACCATTGAGAAAGGCTCACTTAACGTCAAGTTAAAAAACTTGTGACTCCAATTGAGCTGCCAATGCAAGAACAAGCTGAAAAGTTTTCCATTCGAACAACAGATGCAAATGTTTCTGTGAAATCTACACCGGTTGTTGCGAAAAGCCTTTTGGCGACAAGTGTGTGCCTTGTGTTTTTGTATGCAGCTGCCATCTTCAGTATACTTGGTCTTGTAGACCGATTTTAGGTCAATTGTCTTCTTTCCTTTTGGAAGATCCACTAATTCCCAAGTTTGATTCTTTTGAATGCTTGCTATTTCCTCATCATAGCCTTCTTCAAATCTCCTCTCTTGCAGCTTCTCCTAATCTACTAATTAGTAAATATATAAGAGTAATAGAAGAAGTAAAGCGGACCCAGTTTCCTGTTAGCCTCCTTTGTCGAAAACAAAATATATATAGAGCCTTATGAGGGCCCGATAACATTTTTCTTCTTTTCCCACTCTTATACCTACATCTATTATAGCCTTTGATGGGATTTGCTTCAACATTAGAATCTTGCTTCTAGTTTCCCCATTTGATGAAAGGCTCAACTTAACTCTAAGTTAAATATAAACTTGTGACTCCAATTTGAGCTGCCCAATGAGAACCAAGCTTGAAAAGTTTCATCGAACAACAGATAAGAATATGCAAAATGTTTTTCTGTGAAATCTTTACATCCCGGTTGTTTGCCCGAAGAAGCCTATCCCTTTGGGCGGACATCAGAACTTGTGGCCTGTGTTTTTTGTATTTGCAGGCTTGCGCATCTTCAGTTATACTTGTCTTGGTAAGACCGTATTCGATTTTAGGTCAATGGTTTCTTTCCTTTTGGAAAGTCCACTTCCCGCTAATTCCCAAGTGTTCGATCTTTGGAATTGCTTGCCGAATTTTTCCCCTGACAGCATTAGCCTTCTTTCCAAATCTCCTCTCTTGCAGCTTCTTTCCTTAATCTACCTAAATTAGTTAAATAATTATAGAGTTAAAGAAGAATAAAGCGGACCAGTTTTACCTGTTAGCCTCCTTTGCGAAAACATAAATATATAGTATATATTATATATATATATATATAGTATTATTAATAGAATTATATATATTATATTAAAAGTTTAAGTTTTGCTCAATCCCACATCGGGAGATAGAGCATTGAGGGTGGGTGATTGCTATTAAAAGAAGCCAAAGTTTATGTTTCAAATCACACCAAAAACACTTGAATTGTTTTCTATTTAAGATTTAGTAGCAAGCTTTTGGAATAGCAAGTCTTTTGGAATCCCTTGGAGTATAAAATATTTGGGGTGTTTTGAGGGTGTCAGGTAGAAAAATATTTTGTAATTGTGGTTGTAACAATTTGTCACATAGTGAATATTTTTCTTGGTTGTCGTTTGGCAACGGCTGTGGTTTTTTTCTCCACTTGGGGAGTTTTCCACGTTAAATTATCGTGTTATTTATTCTCTTTAATTTCTCAAGTCATTATTTTATTTTCTCATTTGTTCCTGCTTGAAGCCGGTCCGAAGGGCGGGAAAATAGCAATTTTCCCAACAAGTGGTATCAGAGCGAAGCCGGTCCGAAGGGCTGGAAAATAGCAATTTTCCCAACAAGTGGTATCAGAGCCTAGTTGTTAGGCGGAGCTTTTAGTGTTAAGATAATTTCTTGTAATTTAAATTATAAATATGCAATGTGGTTGCGGCTTAGTCTGATCCTCCACATCAGAAATACTGTTGTTAGAAATTATTTTATTTTAAAAGCAAGTGGAGTTTTGGAAGTCTTGAAGCGGGTGGAGCTTTGCTGGAGCTTTGCTTTGTGTGCTTGAGACCGGTTGGTGAAGGTCCTGATGATAATTATTTAATGTTTATTTCGGTACGAAAGTTTTCTGATAATATATCCGTTGCACGTATACTCTCTGTCTAGGAATGGGCCGAATTTTTAAGTGGGACCGTTGTGACCCTTCCGCCCAACTGGGATGTTTACGGTTGGAAATGGTTTAATACTGTCTTTAGGGAGATGTTGGCTCAAGGGTCAAATCCTCGGATTTTTATTTTGATAGAATACATAAATAAATAAAATTTAAATTATAGTTATATGTGCTAATTTTTATTTTTATGCGAATTCTTGGAAAGAATTATTCATACAAGCAAAATTCCTACTTGTGATGAAGAAGATTCGAAGACCTAGTAGCTAGGTATTTAGGAAACTTTGTAGATAGTAGAGAGAAATCCATATATGAAGCACAAAAATCCTCCTTTTTTTTCTCTTCCAAAAAGATTTGTCAGAAAATTAGTTTTCTTCAATAATAAGTTTAGTTCTCGAAAATATTTCCTTCAAATTGATAAAGATTTATTTTCCTAAAACTAAGAGAGATTTGTCACACCTTACCCTACTGTAAGACATGACATGTCGCCCGATTAATATAATGTAATAAGCACTCACTTAATTCTTATAAATGCTTACTAAGTATACTACAAGGGACTTAATCCTTTTAATTCCTTCATTTTTATATCTTGTAGCAAAATAATTTAGTTAGTAAATATATATAACTTCTTTTGGTAGATATTAATCTCAATATAATTTCTTAAACATATTATAAAAAAAACATAAAATAAAATGGTTCCATAACCTATAAGTCCATGGATGATTTAATTACATATTGGAGTCCTGTTTAAATCTTAGATACATAATAGAATGTAATTGTTCAAATATCATTCGGTCGTATGCTTTCAAAATAATCATTTTCCTCTTTAAAAACTTATGAATATAATTATAATTCATAAAGCAAATCCATTGAAAATATTTTGCAAAATCAATTTCATTTTGTTTAAATAAAAGTCAATAGCTACATCAGTAGCATACTATCTACAGTCAAAATTTAAAAAAATAATCCTCCTCTTGGTTCTTTTTTCCGTTTCCTTTTACCTGCGATAGTACAAAGAGCAATCTATCTAAGATATGCCTTAGTTGAGTGTACAATAAAAATAATAAGAATGACAATTCTATAGGAATCCACCATTTTGTTTAAAAGAAAATAAGAAACTAAAATAAATCAATTACCATTTAAATCATCAATTCAGTAAATATAGCTTTACAGGCTTTTATAGAGTCAATTCTTGAGGGCCATCAGTGTCTAATGGTGCACATCTAGACCTGCTATCTACAACCTCAATTCTGGAATATGATTCTCAAACAGAACGAGGGAGCATCTAACAAACGCTCAACATTGGAGGAGAATTTCATATCAATCATATATCATCTAGTGATGAGTATCCATGTTCATATCGATCGTAATATCAACTTCAACAAATGAAAT